ATCATCATCTATAGTATTTAAGTACCACAAGCTCTGTTAAACTTAAGACTAGATGGCGCTTCGTATTTTTTTATGGATGATAATGAAACGGTGCATCCGCCTGAGCTAACAGTTTACGCTGGCGGGGCACCAGGGGAGGATGATAAGATGAGCATTAGGTCATGTTAGAGGAGAATTTATCACCATGGTTTCCAGGGGGAACCGCATGGTGGTCAACCTGACATGGTACATTGTTAGCAACAAGATCATCAGTCCACATTACTAACAATCCCCTTTTCCCCGCGCTATGTACCTATATTGTTAGTGGTTATAATTATTATTTTAATCCATAGAATATAACAAATATAATAGTTAAGTCATATATATTGCATCACCTCAGTAATACTCATATTACCTACTAAGATGACTTTACACCTTGTAATCCCTAAGAAAAGGAGATACGCACGATCGGGATACGACAACTAATCGCCCATATGTATGTGTACCTTCACGTAAGCTTTATTAATATTTGAATATACCAATTCAGTATGCTACATTAACCATGTTTACAATTGTTTAATATAAATAATTGAATATATGTTATAAAAGTTTTTTTATAGCAACAATCTCGATACAAGGTAATAATATAACATATATACAAGGTAATAATATAACCTATATAGACCTATACAAATACAAATGTTTGCACCGAGCAAAAAATTGAACCAGCGAAGATCGGAACCAAAGAGATGTGCTAAACCACTAGACCACTGAAGCCGTCATGTGTGCTTGTTAAATTGAAAAGATTCAAAATGAGATAATTTTAATTTTAGTAGGAATAAAAAACTAATGTACAACTTAAGCACAAAATATCGATCGACGCAATCACGATTTACTTTGGGCCTTTGTTTTTACATATAATCCACCATTTTTCTAAAAGCAATCAGGCTTATCCACAATCTCATTTACTATATCCTTCTCGGCCGCAAATTATTCAATTTAACGTATAAATCCGCTATTTTTCAGCCTTTATTACAAGCTTTACGGAACCCTGAATAATCTAATTATTATTTTATCGTTCCGGAAAAAGTAGAAAAATTGGAAGTTCAAAGCTGCTGTAATGAAAATATGGTCTCAGTTTTGGTATCTGGCATTAGAGAACCACGACTGTTTCATTAACATATCATTTAACTAACAGAATCCTGCGGCGTTGCCCTTCTGAATTCATGTAAATATCCAGTGTATTGATCTAGTACAGGAATGTGATCTATCTTTGCACCAAAACTTTCGCAATTGGGTTGCAATATATGTATTTATACTTAGAAATCTCTTATAATATTATATCACCTTTTATATCAGTCGTAAATGCAAGTTGACAGGCAGAATATTATTTCCAATTGTATGGTATTGTATGTTGGACTCTGTTTTCCCAGGCAGCACGGAGCAACCTCACCGTTCCGAAGATTTGTGTGCATTATTAATTCTAATATTATGTTCAATACTAGCTACTCGCCCTGGCTTCGCCCGAGTGTATATGTATTATACATATAAACCTTCCTTTTAATCACTCTATCTATTAAAAAAACACTTTAAAATCCGTTGCGTAGTTTTAAAGATTTAAGCACAAATCGTCCATATGTAGGTATGCTTAAATCTTACAGACAGACAGCGACAGCGACTTTGTTTTATACAATGTAATGATGATTAATAACATTAAAAAAAACATTCTCGAATGTCATTTCAATTTGCCATGGTTCACAAATTAACTGAAATAAAATTGCATTATTGTAGGCATCTCTATTTAATGAAACTGTTGTCTCCAGAATTTAGTCGAATTATTGTCTTCTGGGGTCTGTCAGAAATATAGATTGGCATACAATTTTTTTTGGTGTCAAGTAGATTCGAGCTCACGACATTTGGAACTGTTGGGGCAAGTTGGGTTACTCAACTATTATGCCACAAAACCCACCACTGACGTAATTACGTAAAAAATAAAATTATGAAAGGCAGTTAATAAAAATATGGAAGGGCAACGGTCAGGAGTGAAATTATAAACATTTGACCTTCAAGCACATTACTGTAACGGCATATCAAGTGCGGCTGTACTAAACAGTATTCCGCGACATTAAACCCCAGTTTAACATAAACTCCGTCGGATCATTACCCGCGCTCCACTCCTATACTACATGTTCTCACTCGTTTTAGAATCTCGACTGAAAATAAAATATTTCATTGAAAATGTTTTATAAATATCGTAAACGGAAAAACATAAATTTATAACAAACGATATCAAAAGAGGAACATATATAGGTTATACACCTGTTTTTAATAAAATAAACAATATAATCGCTGATATTATAGGTGAATTATTTTTTTTAATCGGCTAAACAATCTTCAAGTTAGCCATTACTTAGAAACTTACTAGAAATATGTAATATTATCTTATCCGTGCTAAAAGTAACTACTCATTATTGTATCGGTTTATATGAATTAATAATATTTACGATAATAACAATATAGTAGTGCCTAATCATATATTATGATTACTACTCTACTAATTTGTGAAGTTAAAACTTTGTACACGTTTTAACGAGAATTGCGCGGGCGGAAGTGTATTAAATTTCGCACACATAGTCTAATAAATAGAAAGTGCAGAATGATTTTTTTTTAATTATGCACAAAAAATACATCAATTGAATAAAAAAAATATTACACACGCTACCACTTGACATACACACGTATAGAAGTAGGTCTATTCCTACCTATATACGTGTGTATCTTTGGCAATAGAACCGTAATATGTTTAAACTTATAATTTAAATTAATTATAGTCGAATTTCGACATTTGTACTCAAGAAACAAAACCGTAAAATGTCATCACTTTGTATCAAAATATCACAAAAATTTGAATCGGTGTGAAGTCACCAATAGTAGGCTCTCCCTCCATGGATACAGATAATCATGTTCTAACTGCTCAGAACGAGGCTTTGTCATGTAAACGATCCGGTTTCGCACACTAAGCGTTGTACCACTCAAATGCAAGGGTCAAACTCATCATCCTTATGATTATTACATGATAGCGGCTATCTCGTAATGACAATTAAAAATATTACAGTAACATAAAGCTTACAATGGAGTTCTTGCCAAAATCGATAAGTTTCTATATTGCTATATGTTGCAATAAAAAACTGATTTATGGAAATTAATTGACAATGAGACACATCATACATGTCATGTATAATGTTTTTGGTTAAGTTTATGATCGTATTTCTGTACTTATGTATATATATAGAACACTGCGTTTTAATAAATACTCAAATTAATCGATTTAGTAATGTTATAACACTATATTATTCTTTAAAAATGCTCTTGTCAAAAATGTTTACATTAATTAAAATAACCTATTTATGCAATATCTTCTTTACTTAATTAGGTATTTATTACAATTATAATAAAATCGTAACAAGACGAAAATTTTGCTATTTATCTTTTTATGTATTAAGTAGTTCAAGCTAATCAAATCTTATAAAGATTTCTATTGTATAATTATAAGTAGGTCAATCATTTAGGATAAATTAATATCCAAACATTTTCACAATATGAATATTTTTATAAGTATCTACTGCACGGGAAACTGTACTATGTTTTCGTCTTTTTAAGAATTTTTCTCCTTCGTCCGGAAGTTTTCGGGGTGAATTTATAAACTTTCACTTTTCATGGCATATATGTACGAAAATTTTAACAATATACGTAAGTTAAAATAAAATCACGAACTGAATATAGGAATGAAGAAATATTAAAAAACACTCAACGAAGTGGAAATGTCGAGGGGAGACGCGACGAAGCGATTGGAACTCATTACCATAACTGACGGTCTTTGTAATGGTAATGATCGACTACCCTCCACCCGTCACTATGGTGGTAATGATACCCATCATTCCAATCTTAAATTCTAATTACAAGAGCATAGAATGACTGATGAAGGCCCAATTGTCTTCGATAGTACCTACGTAGGGTTCTATACTTATTAATAAACTAATTAAGTTTATAAATTTATATTCATTATTTATTTTGCAATATAAAATTCTTTATTGCAATAAACTTAAATTTTAACACCTTTCTCCAATAGTCACGTAATAATTGTACTCATTCGGAAAGTTTGATCACAAGAATGATGTGGATGAAACTATTGTTCTTTTAAACAAATGTTGCGAGTTGAATTTTCCTATATCAAAATATGTACAAATACATACTTATAAGTAACAAGTCCCTACAAGTAGCACCCGTTTACGAGTATAAGAGAGTGAGATAAGTGTTTATGAGAGCTACTATTCTTACATAATCTGCTTGATCTGCTGTAAATTTCTTTATACACTTTATCTACAAGTCTTTGTAAAAATTCTTAACTTGCTGATGGCTCTCCTATTTACCTATTTTCCTAAGTGGTACCGTCGTCTACATACATAACAGCATCACAGATATCTCGTTATCATGTGCCTCCTCCGTGCCCAGTTATGTCAGCAACATGCTCTAATGCGCCCTTCAACAGAGAAACTGTTTTGCTAGTTCTATAACTCATTATTTTAAATTTACACTCATTCCTACTTATTCAAAAATTAGGCTGTTATGCTATAGAGGTGACCGTTAAATTAACGAACAGTTTTGTTATATAGTGTTTTGTGCGTGAACGAACAAACTAGTTTACTCGACTCGTTTAGTCGGCTGGTTGATGAGTACGTTGCGTCGCGTCGCTATCGTTTCTCGTAGGTATATCGTGTAAGCCTATCGAGAAAGTTGTTACAACATTGATAAAAGAGATTTTCGTTCGTTTACCAATCCTTTAGGTATGTGAAGAAATAGTCGAAAATTAAACTTGTTTTTTAAAACTAGTTCATCGTCGACTGTAAACGATAAACGGTCTCATTACTTTCACTGTAAAATCGTTGACGACTCGCCGCTATAAAAAGCGATGTTTCTATAAACTTCATAAATTGCGAACATCAATCCGGCGCCGCGGCGTTGCTTACCAATTTCTCTCACAATATTACTGACAAGTTTCAATTCTTGTCAGTCAAAATTTTAGTACAATTGTTGAGATGTTGAAGAGCGCGGAAAGTGCTCTTCATTATAGTGGATTTCGAAGGTCTTCCGGATTGAGTGAGAGTTTATGGCCCTGTACAATTACATTATTTCAATAATGCAAAACATAAAATAAACTAAGAAAATAGAAAACATTAAAAAAATGCAGGCATGGCTGTATGGGCGCAGTTACCTATGCCTTTCTGTTAAAAATAAACAAAACAAAAAAAAAATATTTGTTGATGATTGTAGTTTATACATGAATTAAATAGTTCTTATCACTTCGTAATATCTGTATATCTTATCTTGCTTCAAAAGAACAAAAACGTAAACAAACTAAACCCTTACTCTTAGTAATGTAAAAACAAACTAATGTTTAAATAATTGCTGAAGTGAAGAATAATTATGTACAATTTAAAATATATTGGTCTCTTTCTGTGATCTTTATATTGGTGAAGTGGAATTTGTATTATAAAAACACATTTTAATTCCTGAACCTTGAGAGTATTAACATAAAATACCACATGGATCTCACTGAAACTTTAGCCGGTTTATCTGTACAAAAGTAAGTTGTATAAATATTTTATTATTTAACTAAGTACATAATAATATACTTTAATCACATCATTGGGTTACCTACGTGAAGTAGAAATAAACTATATTCATATACATATAGATTTCAGGTTATAAGCATAGGTATTAAGACATATGTATCTATTAGTATTGTGTACAATAAAGAATTACAAACAAAACAAAACAAAGCAAAAAATAGGATTTTATGTATAAGTATGTAATAGTGTGCTAGTTTAGTGCTAATGGTATAACATTCAACAGTGTAAAATGATTGGATGTAGATGTAGCCAGGTTAATTAGTCCGTTATGGTGATGGTTATCAAGAGGATATATATGAACATTGTACAGGCAACCACACATGCCTTATGTTGTAACCACACATGTTTACTGTTCGATACACAATTGCTAACACATGCAAATTCACCTTATAATGCATTACACCTCATTCAATTTCACTACCAATAAAATAATTGTCCGAGCAGCTGAATGTTGCTCGAACAATTAATTAACCAAGACCTATTTTTTTTAAATTAATCCATCAATCAATCGATCAATCACTATCATTATATTGGAACTGTGGGCTTAAACCCCTACAGACATTGTGTGTGGTATTGCCAGTCAGAAACATTAACAACTGTTGATGTCATAGTGAATGTACTCAGTACATACAGTCAGTGATATTACATACACTCTCACTTTTTTTTCATTACACAGATGGTTTTGGTAGTCTAGCAGTTTAGTACACTTCTTCAGATAGTCACATACTCAATTTCTCGCACAATGCCTACATGTGTATTTATGAGTGTGATTTTTTTCAAAGTCTATGTTTAAGTAATAAACTTCTATGCCATGATGTTCTCTAGATATAGAATAGAATTTAATCACAAGGATGTGACACAACTTTATACCTGTATATATTAATATTTCTAAGCTAAATCACACCATTATTATATTTAAAATAAAAGAAATATATATAAATATATATTACAATACATGTTTATTTATATAGTCGCAACTTAGCATCCCCTCCAGAGGAACACATTAAACAATTAAAACTTTTGTTATATCAAATTGCGCTGAAGTAGTTAATATCATCATCCAATGAGAAAATAAACACAAGAGAAGAAAAACAAATAAAATTAATTTAAAAAAAAGCTGATATAATAAAGCATTCTATAAATTTAAGTGAACTTCACAATACTACATGTATATTTAATGTTTGTTAATAATAAATATGTTTGTACATTTCAGTGGTGACCATGAGCAATCCCAAAAGAAAAGAGAGAACTACATAGGTTGGACAGACTACTTCATGGCAGTAGCATTCCTGGCAGCCAAACGTAGCAAGGACCCTCATTTTCAAGTGGGTGCTTGTATAGTCAATGAGGATAACAGAATTGTCGGTGTTGGGTAAGACATTTTCTTTTTAATCATGCTAGTTCCACACTTGCAGTTGAACAAAAATCTGCAGATTTTGCCAAACTGTAAAAGAAATGCCACTACACTCCTGATGTGGTTGTAGCCCACTCATGCTTATGCACTTTATTATTATCTAGTCTATTTTCTATAAAAATCATCGCTCCTAAGAATATCCTTCAATTCTTGTCCCTGACTGGTCTAGTAGCGAACTCTGATAAAGGGTGAATACAATAGATCTATGTAGGTCGTAGTGCTACAGGTCCAAGCATCTGACAATAGAATAAACAACCCAATAAAGATGGTTGTTTTAAGTTTAATATATCTATGTGGGAACATAACTAACAAAGGCATGTTGATTTTGTTGCATTTTCTTTTGTTAGGTAGGTAAGTAATTAAAATGGTATTGGCTAATACTTATTCAATAGTTTGATGTCTATCACCTCCCTTTCTTATTAATATAGGGATATAAGGATGTTATAAATCATATATTAGTTATTTAATTTTTTTTTTTTTACTTAATTATACTAGTACAACACTGGTAAAATATTTTTTATGTTTCTGAAATAACAAACTACATGATGGTGTCGATAGGCTACGGTAACCATTTACCATCAGATGGGCCATTATGATTGTTTGCTATCATCATAGTATATATATTAAAATAAAACTTTCACCTATTGAAATCTACATTGTTAACGAGTCTAAAAACATTGTTTCTAATTGTGAAAGTGTAATATGCTTTTCTTTTTTTTTATGATAAATTAATAATAGATTTACTTATGCACTCAAGATTATTTTTTATTATAGTGTGAAAAATCTTCCAAAGGTTATCTATGGTATGTTTTTTTAAGGATGGTAATGAAATGGTGGATCCGCCTGCGCTAACGGTTTACGCTGGCGGGACACCAGTGGAGGATGATAATATGACCATGAGGTCAGGTTAGTTAGCCCATCGTGACAAATTCACCAAGAATTTATCACGATAGTTTCCGCGTGGAGGTCAACCTGACATTTATTTTTTTATTTATTTTAATTATTGCTAGCAATATGATCATCAGTTCACATTACTAACAATCCCCTTTCTACAAAAGATGAGTATGAGGTCAACTCAGTTAGCCCATAGTGGCAAATTCACTAGAAATTTAATATGATGGTTTCCATAGTGAACCACATGCAGATTATCCTGACATAGTACATTGCTAACAATGTGGTCACCAGCCCCCATTACTAACGAACCTCCCCCCCCCCCCCCCGTGTAATAGGCTAATAAGACATTAATATTATTACAATCTGTGCACAGGTACAATGGTATGCCACGAGGATGTAGTGACGACATATACCCATGGGACAAGGGAATTAAAAAATTATATGGTATGTTTACTTCATTGATATTTATTTATAACTTGCGACACGTCCCGAGGCAGATGCATTTCAAATCTTTAAATTTCTCGGCTTGTCCTATACTATAACAGACATGTATTATAGATAAAAACCTTTTTGACAGCGGCGGCGACTTTGTTTTATACTATGTAAAGACTAGTTACGACTTCGAGATTGTGTACATATGGCGCCAGCTATTGGTAATAATCAAATAACAATAATGTACAAAGCAGCTATACAATGCTATATATAATATTTTATTAATAAAATTAGAATAAAATTGTAGCTCACGTAGCTATTCATACATTCACAAAAATGATTTTATTACTCCTTTGACGGGATTTATTATTACTTTTTAAGAAAGCCGAGAAACTTCCTTAAACCAATTTTTTAACTCTTTTTCAAATATTCTGTGATTATTTCAGTATAATTCATTCAATATTCTTTTCATAGTCCTACTTTGTGATAGAGCTCCTCACAATTTATCTCCATCTGGTACGGTTTTTTACGAGAACATTGTACATTGGACTCCAATATTAGTTTTTTTGTGTACTGGAATTGCAAATAAATTGCAATTCCAGTACACAAAAAATTACAATACGCGAATATATGCAGATAAGCAATAACAAAACGTCACGCACGTTTATCAGTTTGGTCAATATTGTTGGTCGCAGGTTCGATTCCTCGCACAATATAAACATTAGTCACTCATATCAAACTTATATATTCGGGAGAGCGCAAACAGCCTCCTATTATGGCAAATATGTCGGATTGTCCGCTCCAGAGGCATTAAACATCATTGAACTGATGCGGACCCAGTCCATCTGGACGTGGACTTAAACATATTAATTAGAATTATAAGGATATACATTGTAATTTACTAACATAGTTTATAAGTTGCTTACAACATAACTTGAATGAATATCCAACTTAAATGAATAAATAAATAAATTAGTATCCATCATAAGTGTATTTATATTGGTCTGAATATTATACTATGTATATTAGGTATATATTTACAAAAACCAAATGTATTTAAGTACCTCTGTCAGTTATCTAGTCTCATAATTTAAGGTCTACTTAACTTGGCACTAGATACCGCTGTGTGAATTGTCCAATAATATTATTTATACTATTTTAATAACAATAAAACACCTTCTATTTCAGTATGTCACGCAGAAATGAACGCAATCCTCAACAAAAACTCATCAGATGTGAAGAACTGCACTATCTACGTCAAATTGTTCCCATGCAATGAATGTGCAAAAATTATAATACAATCCGGTATCAAAGAGGTGGTATACGTTTCGGATAAGAAGGCTGAAAAAATAGAGTACAAAGCGTCCAGGCGAATGTTACAGGATGCAGGAGTTATTTGCACGTATGTTTTCATTTTATACTAGCGGTGTTGTCTACGTGAATTTGTTAATAATAATAGCAACCCTGGACAATTAACAATGCATCATATAGCCCCAAACTAAGCAGAGCTTTAGTTACGGGTACTGGACAACTGATATAAATACTTAGATACATTGTTTTGTAAATACGTATGTAATATAAAATATTTGGACATACTATATATCTACATTCGGACAGTTTTTTAAAAGACAAAGAAAGTTCAATTAACTTATTTAATTCGAATTACAATTAAGAATCTCGATTGATTCGACTTGTAACTATATTAACTTATTCGCTGTCACGACTAAAGTGTGTTCGACCACCTGCCATCCTGTATTCTCGTACTTCTTGGATGGCGTTCGTTTCAGTCATCAAGTTAGGACAACTTTCCAAGAATAATCGCTGTATCCATGCCGGTCAAGTGGTATTTGTACGGATCTAGAGTTTGTAGTCATAAATACAGATGTTTTCAACGTGCAGGGAAACAAACCTGTTAATCTAGGATATGAACTGTCTCTACCAAATTTAATAGGCATCCCTGTACTAGTTTTTGCGTGAAAGAGTACTAAATATCAATCTTTAGATTACTATGTCGGCGTAGTTAAAAACTATTTTATGACTATATAATTAATTTGACAAGAAAAATATTCTTATAAACCAAAAGGTTTATTTCCTGTATAAAATCATCTATTTCTATGTTCGCTCTTGCTAAATTACTTTTTAGAGTTGTTATCTCACTTTTAATTTATTCTCTATCCACATTACAAATAGTAGACAGATTAAACTTTGGCCTAGATAGTCTGAATGTGTTGATGTAAAGAATGTGGTTAATGACTCATTGGATACATTGCTCCTATACTTTCTTGTTGTAATTTTATGTTACTTCATATTATATTGCATTTTATACAGGCCTCTCTTCCCCACTGGGCACACTGGGCACATGTCCAGGGCCCCGCGATGGTTTGGGGCTCCCTAGTCTAGTCTAGTTCCTACTCCATTGCCAAACGATAAGCGATCTCGCCTGAAAATCGATATTTAAAAATGCATACCGACTATGGTCAATTTGTTCGTTTTTGTTATTTTTTTTATAAATGTCTAACGAGAACTTGACCTCCTCATCACATGATTTTTTAAAATTATTTTTGCCTGGTTTGTTTTTAAGGGAGCGCATTCCCATATATGTACATTTGTAATGAGTCATGTTCAAAAATGACTTGTCTATTCTAACAAAATACTATGGTCATTATCCTAATGTACCCAGGACCTCTAATAGGTGAAAGACGGCCCTGATTTTATATTCATAACCAATTAGTGATCTGAGGAATTATAAACTGTAGTTTACTCGTGAGAATGAGCGCCCTCTAGTAGATTTTGGTGTAGACCTTTGTGTAGTTATTTCACAATTTTACTCTTTTATTTGTACACAAGTTGTTAATAATTAATTTGTGGCTAACGGTTCGTATAAGTGTCTGTTGTAATTTAGCTATGCACCTATAGATGGCAGTACACGTGTTATTAATTTGTTAATTTAGATTTATAAATATATTATATATAATAAAATATATATTGTTTATACATCGATGTTATATGGAACTTTGTGATATTATCACCAAATTTAATCCTCCAAGTTAATTCTAATTGATATACTTAACTTATCTTTACTATATTGATCGTATGTTACGATCCTTTTGGTACAATTGTCCACAAACGTTAACAAAACATACTTGATATGTATCTGCATATCACATATTTTACATATCACGATTACTATTAGATATAGAGATTATATATTAGATATCTATCTAATATAATCTCTACATGTAATATGTGACTTTCTTCAATTATATAACATACCTACTAGCTGCACCCGCGGTTTCACCCTCATGAAATTTATAGCCTATGTGTTACTCTTATATATAAGCTATATCGCTATAAAGTTTAATCAAAATCTGTTCAGTAGTTCTTGCGTCAACAAACAAACATCCATCCATACTTACAAACTTTCACGGTTATAATATTAATAAGATTTATTGAGCCCAGCGATTAATTTATATCTACAGAGCAGGTTTGACTAGGACGGCAGCGACAACTACCACTACAAAAAATAATTCAATGTCATTATCTTATATTCTTTCTTTTGTCGCTGAAAGCCATTTTGGTAGTTACAACCAATATTGCGCCGGGGGGAAGGGGATTGATAGTAATATGGACTCATAACCCATGAACATATTACTAGCAATGTACCATGTCAGGTTGACCTCCACGCGGTTCTCCCTGGAAACCATCGTGATAAATTCCTGGTGAATTTGTCACGATGGGCTAACTGACCTGACCTCATATTCATTTTATCATCCTCCACTGGTGCCCCGCCAGTGTCAACCGTTAGCGCAGGCGGGTGCACCATTCCATTATCAGCCATAAAAAAAAAAAAATTGCGCCAATCGTGATAATTGTATGTTTATTCATGCTAATATGGAGCTGATTCTTACGGGTTTATTTTATATATCAATAATGTCTATATCAAAGCCTACTTAATACATTCGTTACGAAAGTTGTATCCTTAGTAAAATGTAATTTAAATTGAAATTTGAATTTAAATTGAATTAAGTGAAATGTAATGAAATGTATTTAATATACAATAAAGTATTACATACAAAGAAACATTTTGTTACTATAGGTATAACAAGCAGTGTCTATTAAAAGACTGCTGTGCCACTTCTAAAAATCAACGGCTTGCATACAAATAATTTGACAATAGTATTCAGATTGTTTGCAAAAAGTGGGAATCCATCTCCAACAACATAACTGATCCGAAAACGCATAAAACAATTAGATGACAAAGTATCTAAAAAATCAACTCAGATTAATTATCGGGATTTTTTGTTTTTTTTTATGGATGATAATGGAATAGTGCACCTGCTTGCGCTAACGGTTTTCTCTGGCAGGCCACCTTTCAACCCCTTTTTCTTTATTTGTATTTAAACATCTTAAGAAATAAGTTTCAAGCTTCTAGCTTTAAAAACGAAGATGCTTCCATACAAACTTTTATCTCCCTTTTCTACCACTTACAAGCCTTTTTTTTTGCAGTAAAAAGTAGCCTCCTAGTAGTAGTCTTTTCTTTAGATCGATTATTTTATCGTTAAAATTTTATTTAAATCGGTTCAGTAGATTTGGCGAAAAATGAGATAGACAGACAGATAAAGTTACTTTCGCATTTATAATATTAGTAAGTTATTTAATAAACTAACTAACCAAAAAATTTTCATCATTCTAGCTTCAAATAATTAGTTCAATTTTCTGTCATCCCGTATTTTATTTTGTCCCTTAAGGGTAACATATTTACAGACTTCAGATATTTGAATGTCAGATTTATTTATATTTAACGAACAGCCTAAAAAATAAGTTTCAAACTTCTAGCTTTAAAATGACGATAATTCTATACAACTCTTTATCTCCCCTTTTAACCCCTTTTGCTTTACTTATATTCTGTCAATAGTTTAAAAAATAAGTTTCAAGCGTCTAGCTTTAAAGTTAAGTCAATAGTTCCATACAAACTTTCATCTCTCCTTTCAGTCCCTTGCAACCCTTTTTTCGCAAAAGTATCTAACTACTATGTCCTTTCTCGGGGTATAGATTATTTGTGTACTAAATTTAATTTAAATACGTTTTAGCTTGAAAACAAGACAGACAGACGGAGTTACTTTTTCATTTATAATATTAATAGGAATTATCTTTACGATATTATTAATGCGAAAGGATAAGAATTTTATTTAATTCCACATAGATTGCCGATATTGTAAATGCCTTATAGGCCAAACGGCGAATATGGGGCAGTGGAGTGCAGAGTTTAAAAACTCTCTTTTATATTTTGTTACTGTACCAGTCCTTTAGGTGCTGATTCAGTAAATTTGAAGGACCAGGCTATAGCGTGAATGTTCAGGAAATGTGGGTTAAGGAAAACACAGGGGAACGAGGCGTGGCGGCGTTCACACGTGTTCAATTTCATTCATGGCAATTGAAAACGCGGTTCGACACAATGCTTAGACATAATGGAACCATACGTACGCCATATATTTATACAGTGTTCTGACCCAGTCCTGTCACCGACACGTTGCACTTACGTATCGGCAACTGAAATCTATAAGCACAAGAGCTCCTAATAAATGAATCCATGTTACCACTATCCATGAACGCATGCGTCGTGTCAATAACTATACACGAATACGTATAATCGCCGAACATAATTTTTTTGTCGATTGATTCCCTGAATTAACTCTCATTCAATCGTCTTGTTTATTATCTTTTGTAGTCATGCTCGGGAGAAAAGCTCGAACATGTTAATTTACATGTACCATACATGTTTATATAATGACGCATAACGGTGAGTCAGTCAGTGTACAAAAATATATTACGTCCGGAACCACAAATAAATCGTTTCCATGCAAGTAAATGAAACATAATAACTTCATCGAACGAATCGATTTAAAGCCCAGGGTGTATTCACACTTTCATATAACGTATTAATACATTTGAACGCGCAATGAATACTTTATGTAACGATGCGATGGCTATTTTATGTAAATCTTGAAACATTACTCGGCAATGTTTCAAGATTTATGACTGACATGCATGACAAGCGCAAACGCATTCGCAATAAAGTATATTATTAATATTAAAAGAGGTGACATGTAGATGACATTGACCTGATAAAATTATGCAGTAGCTAATACACGCTTGTCATGTCTGTCTAATAAATTTTGGAACATCATCGAGTAATTCGAAGCGGTCAGCTGATGGTAGAAGATGGTCCCCATCTTTGCAATTGTTAAGGCAAATCCAGACAGACACAAAATAAAATATTTGTTCTATATCTGTCATGTTTTTTATACATTTCACTTATTGTTTTACCATAATTCGCAACGGCATTTTGATATACTGCTCTATAACTTTATGATCGAAGTGTTTTCATCATTTAGACACGAATACAATCCATCGATCTGTTATACAGTTTAATAACTATGAATCGAATTAAATATAATATAACCTACCTATATTTTACTCATGACTTAATAAATCTTATCAATAAAATTCTTCGTAGAATTTTTTTGTTTTTGAAGTAATTGAAAAGATAGTACAAACAGTTAACATGTGCTACAGAGAACTTGCTACGTCGTAGAACTATCAAATCGTTTATAGCCGTTGCTGAGATTAGAGTTCACAAATATCCAGACAAGCGGACAAAAATCCACAAAACTATTTTATGATCTCAAAAAAAATATATAGTATGATAGCAATATCATACGCGTGTTTTATTGTAGTTCGCAATCTATTTATTGATAGTGATCTAATTATAGCAGTAAATAAAGCTTTGCATGATGTAATTTCGTAATAAATTATATTTTTAGATCATAAATAAAAATGTAGGTACGATTTCCATTACTTCAATTTCTCACTAATTCAATTTGTTCGAGGAAATTTGCTGTTTGTTAAATGATTGAAATGATAATACAATCAGAATAAAACAGTAATCACAATCAGTAAAACATGTTACGGAGAAATTGCTACGTCAATGACAGTTGTACTTTAAAGTCGTTTAAGCCATTGCCGATATTAGAGTCCATAAACGTAATAATTCTAAAGACTATTTTATGAACTCTGAAAAAACAAACGTTTTGTATAACTAGTGGGGACAGAGAACGAAAGAATAGAAATCACGGCCTAAGCCAAGGTTTGAACCCTTTAAAGAAAGTTGCATCTGTCAGGCAGGAGTTTACCTTCATGCGCTCCATAAGTCCTCCGCTGGTTGGAAGTGGCATCTGTACTCGTATCGTTCGGCGATGCTGTAAAGGCGAGCTGCGGCACACAATAGTATTGTTTAAAATAAATTCCGATTGAAATAATGAAATAATCACAAAGTATTTTGTGAAAATTTGATCGTAACTCCTACAGACATTTTTACACGATTTTATTATATGTAACGTCGTCGGTGGTCTATCGGTTAAGCACGTCGTGTTAGTTCCGATGACTCCAAGTTATATTCCTGGTATGATGCAAACATTTGTATAAATGAGTATGATTATTTGTAAAAATAATTTAATTATTTCTATCAAACCATATCAAAAATCATTTATTTATATAGAACATTTTAGCGGTTTATGAACGTCACGTTTTTTATATTAAAATTTCATCAGTTCAATCACCATTCAGTTACTTACACTGTTGTACTTACTATGTTGTGAAAACAACTGATATCAGGTCGATTCAGTTGTGTATAGTGGATTGAATAATTACGACACTATGATTCTGAGCAAGAGATTGATTTATACTAAGGAAAGCACTCACAATGTACTTCGAGAACTGCCTGTTCGGTTTCAGCCAGCCTTCCCAGAACTGCGGGCTCGTTCGAACATACCTTTTGAATAGTTTACCGCCAAAACCGACAATAAGTGCTCTCCGTTATATCACTCTCTTGCGTTTGTTATTATTTCATAAATGAACTAATAATATTTACGACTAATTTATTAAATAAATATATATAAGAAATCGACTATTACGAAAATAACAACAACGATAATCCAATTTTTCAAACAACAAAACATAACCTTTTTTCTTCTTGCGGCGTTAGATGCAGTTTTCTCGCAATAGTTTTGCCGTGCGTATAATTTAATAGTGAACAACCTATTATATTATATACAGATTGTATTGATAGGAAATTGCAAGAAACTCACAAATTTTCTTTTTTTTTTAAATCTAGTTTCTCAACATCGTTTACTTACAAAAGTGTCTATGTCTAACATTAAATGTAAAACCCGTCAGTTGTCTAGTACCTATAGCACAAATATATATCACTTATTAATTGCACTGCCTTATTATCTCTGATCAACACGAAACTTAACTGGAAGAGAATGCCATCAGGAATTAAGTAAAGTATACAATTTTGACTTCAAAAGAATAAATAAATAAATTCTGCTTTGTTTAATAGTGGATGGTGCTGTGTAAATTGTCCATAGATATATCAATAATTAGTATTGAATATAGAGATTAACAGTTTTACTTTTTCCAGCCAGTACATACCAAAGACGAGGACAATGGTCATAGATTTTGAAGAGGACAACGATGATTCGCTCTCGGCTGCAGACATAACTCAATAAATATATTTAATTACAGTAGTATTAAACAAACAATAATCCATATTATTAATGTTATTAAACTCAACAGTTTGGTTGAACGCACTAATCAAGAACTACTAGTTCAAATTAAAAAAAAAGTTGTATACACCATTTATCAAGGAAGGCTACCAGCTTTATAACATAGGTGTGGAGAATCGATGAAACAGGCAGACGAAATTGCGCTGGGTCAGATAATAATAATTCCCCCAAATGGGGTATATGCAATTACCTCCGCTCACCTAGTCCGAAGCAACTTTATTTATAAGTTAGGTTGTCAAAATGTTGTTACCCCATCTATTGATCACTTATTAATATTGATAGGTTATCAATATATAAATGTATGTATTGTGAAAAAAAATATTCCCATTTGTCGAAAATTATGCCGACGGAGGAATACAAAAGGCATAGTTAAAGTTTATATGAAGAAGGAATGCTACAAACTATTTGTTTTATTATAGAAAATATATGTACTGTAAGTATAGATTAAAAATTTGTGTAGTCGTGAGTGAAATCTCTGTGCCTTTGACAGTAACCTTAGTAAACTTCATATTTTAATTAAAGTTATAATTTAAAATCATTTATTCATGTAGGATATTTAAGCAGCTTATGAACGTCAAATTTATTATATTATTATTATTCTACTACTGTCCAGTTATAGGTTTAAATTCAGAAGAATTGACAAAAAACCCAAAGATTTTCTTTTTTTTTTAAATGCCCGTTCGTTTACATTGTTTAATTAGACAGGTATCTATGTCAAACATTAAATGAAAATATATAATACTATTCCATGCACGTTGCATTGTCATTTAAGTAAATGAATTAAATATTTAGACTTTCGACTACATAACTGTTGTAGTTTATTCATGTAGTAATAAGAAAAAAGACTAGGTAAACGGAGAAAAATATATATTAATTTAGACTACTGACTTAACAGAAAAGAAAAAAGGAATTGAAGTAACAAAACAAGAATCTACAAAAGGAACTATAAATTTTAAATACAAACATGAAATAATAATAAATAATCTCTTCTTACCATACCTTCTATGGGAATCTCTTAGATACAATTTTAGTGAATTATATATTTTAGTTATTTATTAGTATTTGCTTATGTTATTATAAATAGAATAATTTTGCACAAGTGTATGAACTTTTGTTCATAGCTATAATATTTTTATCAATTTCTCTCATTGGATCTCACGAGCGGAAGTTGTGTGAGCTGTGCTAAGAGGTAACTTTTAATATCATATTATTATTATTTATGCGAAAATTTGCATCCACTGATAAATGTCTGTTATCTACTATTTTATGCAAAAATTTGTTCAGCAGAACAGATTTGAATTTTTAATGGTCTCTATGGTGTAGCGGTTTTGCACACCGCCTTAATTCTGATGGTCGTGGGTTCGATAAGCGCACGGAATATTTTTTATGAGTATCTATGTTTGTTTGTATTGGTCTGTATATAAATAGTTTATAAAAAATAGACTTAAGTAGGTACTCATTTTTATAAATTTTAAGTTCCCACATTACAAGTCCTCCGTTGTGGACTAGATACTACTGTGTGAATTGTCGTGGATTATTATTATAGAATGATATGATCGAACTTTGATTTAATTAATAAATGCAATATTATTTTTCCTCCATTGTTTCTGAATGTTTACTGTATAAATTGTATGAATCATAAAACAATGGACATATATTATCTAATTCCATTTAAAATTACTACAATAATTACTAACCAAGAACCAGATAATTATAATGAAATCAAACTGAACAATAATAATTAGAATAACAAATAAATACATGTTTCATCGTACTGCGTAGACCACCATGTTGTCTTGTGTTTTATGGTGGTCCTAATTATATTGAAATGATGAACCGCGATCTAAATGTTCGGCGACTGTTAGACCTATTTTATGCAACAATATATAATGTAACAATATCATCAGTACTATAAAATCCACCATCTAATGGTATTCTAAGACTAAAATAAAATAATACATCACAAAATCTAAGACTCTCTTTAAAGTTCGGAACTTCTCCACTTCTCCAATAATTTGTTATAAAAAGGCATATTTTGTCAACCCCCATCCCACTAATGTGAACGTAATTTATGGATCGATCCCAAATGTGTAATTAATAATTTAATCGTGTTAGTTAATATCATGCCACGCATTGAATGGTCACGAGACGTTTTTTAAAAGAGAAAAAGTTATATTTACAGACCCGTAATAAAACTAATTAATCACCCATGAACTAAATATTTTAATACATATTGCAACATATACTATTAAATTGTTTTTTTTTCTGTATATACGATACTGCTGTGACTAAGTTTATACAAAATGTAATATTTTTAAATAAAAACTCAATAAATAACTATATGGTATCAATAACTTAATCTTTTTTTTAAATCCCGTACTTTGGACCCGCGGTATAATACCATCCTAATGCCATCACATTGTTTCATAGAGGACACGTACGTGGTTTCCTGTTGAACAATAATGATATGAAAATACATATGAACATAATGTTATCGATATCCTTGAAAACGAACTTGCGGACGAGATGGATTCCATCTCGTCGGAAAGTTCGTATGTTTACTCGAACATGTTCATGCACATCTTCATAATATATATAAATACACTCCTGCTCGACTGTGATGCCACAATAGTGCTGTGTCTGCTTAAGTTTTCAGTGTCTTTAATATAAATTAGTTATTTTAAACCAAGTGTAATAATATGACTGACATTATTGAAGCGCTTTTAAATGGGTATTATTATTATTATTCCATAATTCCAACTTAATTAGTACCAGCATGTACCATTAATAATCAGAATATAATTTGCAATTTTTATATAATTAGTCTGAAATTATTTGTATACGGTGGTGCTATTTAAAATTTTCTATTTTTTCAATACCTAGTCATATTTTTAGGCTACATTAATAGGTTCTACACTAATGAATTATTTACCGTATTTGTCAGCAAATTTATTTATATCATTAATTAGTTACCGCAAGCGGGTGCATGTGTTTTTTATTACTAAATTAAATCCCCGTACTTGGAACCCGCGGTGTAATACCATCGTATTGTTCTATAATATGAAAATACCAATTTATAGTCAACATCATTGGTATCATATCAAATAGGTATATTACGATAATGTACATGAACATGTTCGAGTGTTTATACCTTGAGTTGTCTTTGTCAGACGAGTTGAAACTCGACAAATCCAGGTCAAAACTTTCCTCTGTCTTCCTATTGTTCCATAAAGTACACGTACGTGATTTCCTGCGTAACAACAACAACTGTATTCAACATCATTGGTACCTACATATGGACATAATGTTATTTATTAATTTTTTGACCTTGATTGGTCATCCTTTTGTTCCATAAAGGACAGGATTGTCTTTGTCGGGCGAATTAATTTCAATTCGTCGGACAAAGACAATCATGTCAAAAACAATCGAACATGTTCATGTGCATTATCGTAATAAATATAAATACAGTCCTGCTGGACTGTGACGTCACAATAGTGTTGTGTCTCTTTAATGTTTTAGTGTCTAATAAATTAGTTATTTTATTTTAAACTTTTAACATTATTGAAGCGCTTTTAAATGGGTATTAGATATTATTATTCCATAATCAACTTAATTAGTACCAGCATATACCATTAATAATTAGAATATAAAATACGATGGTGCTATATAAAATTCTCAGTTTATTTTTACTTTTAATTAAATAAATTTAATATAACTACTTTTTCAGTACCTAGTCATATTTTTTTTAGTCTACATTAACAAATAATAGTAATAGGTTCTACACTAATGAATTATTTGTCGATAAATAAATCATCAATTAGTTAACGCTAGCGGGTTTACGATTACATAATTTAGGACCCTATTAACCGAGCGGGTTTTTTTTTCATAATTGTAATTCCGTTGGCCACAGATGACCTCTTCCGATTCAGGAGATGGCCTCTTCCGATTCAGGAGATGGCACTCCGTTCCGCAGAAGGATTTAAGGAGCTGGAACGACTGAATGCCAACTCCCGGGTGACGGATTCGATTTTAGTATAACCTCTAGGGTTTGAACCTCGTCTCAGGCGTGTTTTATTTTTCCGGAGGCGAGTTTCGAATTAATGCTTTCGTGTTTGCGCCTACGGTATACCTACGCTCCTTTCTGCAATGTAATGTAGTGAAGTGGAATAGTGTTTTAATTTGTTTATTAATTTTTTCATTAAATTAAACAATTAAATTGTGGATTTGGTAAAGAAGGCCGTCGTTATTTCGATCCCCGTTTGAATTGGACGGCATCGAAGGGAGGAGCAACGCAGCGCCCAAACGGGCGTAGGCGGACGTTTGACTACGTTAGATGGAGTGTATGAGGTCATCACTTCGCCGTCGCTGAAAACGTTTTGTAGTTTAACGTAAACGTTAACATTTCATATTTCATAGTCTTTAAACTTATATTAAAAACTAGCAGGCCGCCCCGGTTTCGCATGTGTTTTTTTAATTGGTGACTGCGGAATTGTGCACCTCTCTGCCCTAACGGTAAGCTAGCACAAGTGGAGTGTGATAAAATGAGCATGAGTTCAGGTCAGTTAGCACATCTGGCAAATGGCAATTTACCACGATGGTTTTGAGGAGGAACCACGTAGAGGTCAACAGTAGGTGCATTGCTAGCAATGGCGCTTTTAGTCCACATTACTAAAAATATCCTTCCCTTTGTTTTTATAAGAATTTATAAACATTTTTGATATCAGTCAGCCCTTGAAGTAACTCTGTTAAAACTAAGATATTTCATAATGTGTTCTTTAAAATCAAATGATATAAAGGATAATTTTGTTCAAAATCTATATAACGATTAACATCTTGTTCATAGAAACACCTTCGCAATGCATCATTTTAGAAGAAATTGGTTTACCATAAAAAGGATATAGTGATAAAAAGATAGTTATATGTTGTTACGACATTTTATTTTAAATTTTAAAGGAAAACAATTCCCTCATACATATTTTTGCGTACCTTTAATCGTTTATGCAGCACACGCAGCGGATGCACTAGAAATGAATATTTTTGCCACATTCTTCATATATCTTTACCTATACCTTTCCAACAGTGAAAGACATTTTTAAATCGAATCAGCAGAATCTGATTATACACTGAACATCGAAACACCACTTTATAATATTAGTAACTATATATAAATTAAAAAAATAAGACTACGTTGGCATAACGTACTTACTATATACTATGTACTTATTACTTAGTAATTAAAAAGGGGAATTCCCTCGTTTACAGCTTAAAATAAATATTATGTTATCTAGAGATAACATAACTTAGAAGTTATGTTATCTGGTGTATCAAAACATATCATTACTTATCTACAAACCAATTCCCATAGAGGTTACTCATTAAGTCACGTTGAAGACGTTTCACATTACAAAATTATATAAATAAGTAATTATAAAAAAGGACCAAATTTTAATTATTAAATTAAAACATTAAATTATTTCTACTTTTGTGTCCCTTTGTGAGAAAGAATTTAATTCTAAATTGCTAGTTTTCAACACAACAAATTAAACTAGGTATATATTATTTTTCAAACATTTATGCTGCTCGTACTATGTATTTTTCTACCTATTTGCCTAGTTGATTGAAATACGTATACAATACGCGTTATTACAGGATATATTTTTCCTATGTTAAAGCACATTCAATTTATTTATGTGTCTATTACTATGAGTAACAATATCAGACAGTTCCTTAAAAAGTTCCAAATGCTAGTAGATAATTATTTTACCTTATAATTATTAAATTACCGATTAAAGCACCGTATAGTCACAAATATTGTACTGTCTATCTGTCGCGTAAAGCAGACACCAATAAAACACAATCGGAATGAGCTTTGTGTTCGGAGCGCGCGTTCATTTTATTCATAAGCAGCAACATAGTGGGAGTCCTGGGCGGACGAGATAACGGGCAGTTCAAGTCCGAGAATAAGCGTATATCGGTACAACCACCAGATATTCCATCCTGTGTTGTGTTATCAGTATTGAGTCAGCTAGCAAACTACTTCATTTGTGAGTGAGTACTCAACCATTCCTTTCTACCCATATGGGAGAACAACCAGAATCCACTTTAGAGCCCAATTCTATGACCCCCTGTAAAATAGCAATGGTAACACTAATCAGTTAATTCGTGATTTAGTTAAAAAGTGATCCCTTATTGAATGGCGATTTACTAAGTTAGATAGGGTTTTAGAATAAGATTTAGACGAACAAATCGAAAAGAAATGTCAGTTTGAAGACAAATAATACAACACTTTTTTTTTAATAATGATAATAGAAGGATGCACCCGCCTGCGCTAACGGTTTACGCTAGCGAGGAACCAGTGGAGGGTGATAAAATGAGCATGAGGTCAGGTCAGTTAGCCGATTATGACAAATTCACCAAGAATCTATCACGATGATTTCTAAGGGGAACCTCGTGAAGTATAAAAGTAGTCATAAGTTTAAACATTTTAAAAGTGTCATAAACAAATAAAATCATTGTTAATATCGTGTGTCTTAATAATTTGAACTATTTAAAGCTATACTTAAGACACGTTAAAACACATTTTATTTAAGGTAATTAGTATTTATCTATATGATATTATTATATTATCCGGATCATTTTATCTATGTAATATAAATTTTCGCATTACGGCTATCATCCGACTTAACTCATTTATTAATATATTGTACTATACTTGATGCCCAACATTTTCGCTTGATATTTGTTATTCTTTCGATTCACATTTTTTCATTAATAAGGAGTTATTGTAGAGAAATCGGCTGGCACGATCATTATATAAAAGAAAATGGTTCTAACTTACGAATTCTATTGATACGACAATTTTATGATACGAAACTCTCTTCTATTATATTGTAAGAATATGATGACCTTGAATTGATGCTGAGGCTTCACCTGGAATCGAACAGGAAAAGAGAAATGAGAATAAATTGTCGAGGGTTGACGATAATTTTCAATTTTGTTTTAGACGACATTTGACGTAAATTGATTCGGAACATGGACAAATTAGTCAACTGACTTACACGGGAGAAAGCTACACAAAGCTAGCCGTGCAAGAAACAACTGACGCTGAGACCTACGCCCGTCATACGTAGCATCTGCCTTTGCGCTTTTTTAATTTTCAATCCGTAAAATACCATCACCGAAACTGTTACACGTTCGAAACGGAAGAGGTCAATATTTGGAGTCATAGAAATTAGGTGTATAGAAACTATCCCGGCAACACCACATCCCGTCAAAATCTCAACTTCTATTATATTACGTCCCAGAGAGAAAAGTTACACTTTCAGTTTAGTCCCGTTGAATAATATTGTGGTTCTTAAATTTCGTAAAAAAATAATAAGGATGCCATTTTAAAAATATTTTTTAGTGCGATGGAAATCTAGAGGCACACAGACGTCATCTCGCTCCATTACTCGCTTGAGAGAAGTACCTATACTCCACTAATTCTTCTTCAACATTGGTAAGCATGTCATTTCGCGCAGTCAAAATTGATCTCTCACAATTCACAATATAATCACTATTATAATTATTAACCTTTGTTTACCATAAACGGAAGCAATATGGTATAGGGTTGCCAAGCCCAAATTTAAAAAACCAGGATTGAAAGTTCTAAAACCAAGACTATCCAGTTTAAAAACAGACCGCAATAATAGTGTTGCAATAGTTGAATATGTAGTAAAGTTCAAGTAATTGATATAATCTGGTTTTTAATAAAAAGTATTTGATATTATAATGTTGAAAATCAGTAATTAAGAGGCGCGCATACTTTAAAAACACAGGACGCTGTGGACAAATATGACAAATAACTATCAGGACTTCCCAGTACCCTTAAAATATTAGGACATGTCCTGGGAAAACAGGACGGTTGGCAACTCTAATGTAAGGTGATATTTTTCAACAGAATTAACAATGTGGACGTGTTGTTCTCAAAAACTGGAAGAGAAGGGCTGACGATCGTGCCCAGTGGCGTGCCTTGGGAGAGGCCTATGACCAGCAGTGGACTGCAGTGGGCTGATGATGATGATATGTTGTTCTCACACTTTGCCTTAGGTCAAAATAACTCAAGTAGATTGTGTACTAAACCGTATAAGTCTATAGAGTCTTAACTATCTCACGGGAAGTCTTCAATTTTCCGTGATTAATAGTAGGTATCTATATGTCGTTTTTTTCTTAAGCACTTCTATGATCTTGCATTACGCGTTACTGACAATATAACTGATTTTAAATAATTAACTGTAATATTTTGTACCGACCTGACCTCACGCTCATCTTATCATCCTTCTCTGGTGCCCTGCCAGTGTCAACCGTTAACGCTGACCATTCCATTAACTTCCATAAAAAATAGATATATATCAGCATACACAGATAAAGGTATTAAAAATATAGTAAACTAGCTGTACACGCGACTTCGTCCTCGTGTAATAGTGATCTTGACCAAATACAGAAAAGCATTCAATAATCGAACCCAAAAAGCCAAATGAAAAAAGTTTCACCGTTCTATTCTAAATAATTACGAATTTCCATACAAACATTTATCCCCTATTTTATTTTACACCCTTGAGGATAAAATTTTTAGAAACTTATAATGTTATATTTATTTATATTTTATCAACAGCCTAAAAAATAAGTTTCAAGCTTCTAGCATGACGATACTTACATATAACTTTTCATCTACCCTTTCAATTCCTTACAAAATTTTTTTTTCTTTATCTGTGTACCAAAATTTAATTCAAATCACTTAAGTAATTTTGACATGAAAGCGAGACAGACAGATATCCCGAATTACTTTCACATTTATAACATTAGTATCGAAGTAATGATTAATTATGTATATCTGTTTATCAAAGATTGAATATGTCAATTCCGCTGATTTCTACTGAACATGTTCATATCCATTATCAGAGTGTACATAAATATAGTCACACATACATAACAGCACAGTGTGTTTAATGTCTTAGTGTTTAAAATACAAATCAGTCATTTTGCGAAAAACCAAGTGCAACATAATGAGTGAAGACATTATTGAAACACTTTTACGTTCAGACTGGTAAATATAACACTGGCTAATCTTACCACGTCTTCATACTTCAGTATTATATTTCCAAACCATAAATAGCCATTAGACGGAAAGGATTGCTTCTTTATAGAGCATGATTATGGAATTGTGCACCCGCCTACGCTAACGGTTTACGCCGACAGGCACCAGTGGTGGATGATCGGGTGTACATGAAGTCAGATTAGTTAGCCCAACGTGACAAATTCACAAGGAATTTATCGCGATAGTTACCAAAGGGAACCGTGTGGAGGTCGACCTGGCATGGTACATTGCTAGCAAGGGGATCATTAGTCCACATTAATATACTGGTCCTCTATGTGCCCTGGAAACCACTGTGGTCAGCTCAACATGATCCTCACATTGATGAGGTGGGGAGGGGATAGTTAGTATTAGGTAGTAGCGACTCCATTGCTAATAATATACTTTGTTAATAAGGTAATCCACGCAATTCTCCCTGGTAAAGATCGTGATTCACCACGATGTCATACTCAATCCATCCTCTCAATTCAATTAACACGACCTGCCATTAAATCAATTTAATTTAATATAAATTATAATTAATCAGTATATAGTTTCTAGTCTTATTTTTATAATTATATAAAAAAAATATTAATAACTTAACTTCAAAAATGGTATCAAGTATAACAAATGGAATAGATTCATTTTTACAAAAATATAAAATTTTGCAGGATGCGTAGACGTATACAGATATACTAAATAATAGTTTAGTAGTATATATATGTATATATACTACTAAACTACCCATATCGAAAACAACAACAATATATATACATATATATATATATATTGTTGTTGTTTTCGATATGGCTTCGGCAACAAGATGTCGTATAATTAAAACCGATTGTTTTTGCTATATTTGTGGTGATATTTTACAAATACATAAATTGTAAAATATCGAACTAAATTTTTTCGTCATAATGATAAAACTATGTATACAAAAAATTGAAGCTATTACTCCCAGTATTTTCTTCGCATGAAAATGATGGATTATGGGTGATATACCTAATAATTAACAACTATTATTTCACAATTTTTTTCTAAAAGGTTACATTTGAAAAAAAAACATTAATGAGGAATAGGGTTTAAATTTCTTTTTTCGATTTTTCTATTTTTTTTTCGAATGAATGCATAATATCTTAAGAGTGTTGTGTCTTGTGTCGTGTTCAGTGTGAGGTAAGCCGATAGAACTCGCTTATGAACGTTTCATCACAATGTGTATTATTTGCTGATGATGTATCACTAATAATCCCTCATCATAATAAAAATTTCAATTACGAAGACCAAATTAATTCCTGCCTTAAAGAAGTAGGTGATTGGCTAGAAGTAAATAGCCTAAATATAAATATATCAAAAACAAAATTTATTCAATTTGCTAATTATAAAACATTAATTGAAACAATACCAGTCAAGTATAACGACCAATTAATCGAAGAAGTTGACTCAATAAAATTTTTAGGACTTACATTGGACATGCACTGCAATTGGAAAGATCATATCAATAATCTATGTACCAAAATAAATAAATTTATATATGCACTTAAACGATTAAGAAATACTGCAAATGTAAACACTGCCCTCACCGCGTACCACGGTTATGTCGGATCTTTACTTAGATATGGTATATTATTGTGGGGTAATTCAACATTTGTTAACAAAGCATTAATTGCACAAAAAAAATGTTTACGTGCAATCTATGGTATACAACCTAGGATGTCTTGCAGGCAGTATTTCCGGAACAATAAAATTCTCACAGTGACTTCTCTGTATATCATGGAGATCGGTGTATTCGTTAAAAAACATCCACTTTTGTTCCAAAAGATTACAGCATTCTCCAGATTTGATAGACGGGATCCAACAAAATTAGTTATCCCTGCTTGTAAAACTTCTCTTCATCAAAAAAGTTGCTATTTAATAAAAAAACAAAGCTAGCTAAAAGCTAGGAGTTATATTTAGAATTATTAGATAACAAAATTAGTAGTATTGTTTGATATATTTGTATAATATTGATTGACACCTAACTAAAATAAATGTCACGTATTTGACACATAATACAATTTCTAAACGTAAATTCATTAATTCTATTGTATAATTTGTATATTACTAAAATTTTTGCATGCCAAAACAATGGCGAAATATGTGGACAATTTTATTAATACTGACATTCTTTTAATATTTATACCATATTTCATGCAAATAAATACATTTCATTTCATTTCATTTCATTTCTATTTTTTGAGTGTTCAAAATGTAAACGTAAAACGAAGAGTTTTCCTACAACTCATGTTTTCAAAGTCGGTGAACCTTATAACTTCAAAACTATTGCACCGATATTTTTTAAATTTTGAACACTATCTCTGTATAAAATTACGGATGTAAAGCTGGAAAGTTTTTTTCAAATTTATTTAATTTTTTCTTTTTAAAATAACAAATTAACCTACTTTTTTCGCATAAAATTGCCTATTTTCCTTTAGCGTTTCTAAAATGTGACAAATTGAAATTTCAAAAAACCCCCCAATTATATTTTATTTAGTAACCTAATTTATCGTTATTCGACCCATTTATACGAAAAAATACTGAAAATTGATTAAAGTCTGTATTTTATGCGATAAAATGTTAAATTTATAAAAATATAATGTTGTGAAGAATCGTATTGCATCAAAATAGTCTTTTGTTGGTATCTAATCTAATGGATAAGGTTTATTTTTTTAGTTCGTTAATTTATAACTACCATTATACCTACCTACCATTTATATTTATTCCTGACTAAAAAAATCTTATTGAATTTTATTTTAATAATATCTTATATACCCAAGAGCCCACGACTGCCAGACATACGTCATTTTAATAAACGTGAAAGTTCTTGTATGTGTGTCCCCAACACAGGTAAGAACGATCCCCAAATATGAAACCTGGATCGTGGTTCCTTTGGCAGGTACCAGGTAACAAAGGTGTAAAAAAAATCATATCAAATTCGTTATTTTAAGAAACTCCATATTTTCATATATTGTTCGTAGTACTATTATAACTTGCGCTGATCATTGCCAGACACTTAGTGTGGTTCCAACCCCCGCCGGACCCCCCTAAACTATACTATTTTAGAAATAAACTTACGTCATTTTAATAAAGCTGAAATTTATATATATTATTGAGAGTTCTCTCAAACTGAGTTTCCTAAATTGCCAGACAGTTTTCTTGGTTCCTTATCCTACCAGACTCATTGAAACCGTATATTGGGTAATAACGGTGTATACAATTTCATATCAAAATCGTTATTTTAAGATGCTCCATTTTTTCACATATTGCTCGTAACAGTATTATAACTTGCTCTGCTCGTTGCCAGACCCTTAGTGTGGTTCAAACCCCCCGCCGAACCCCCCTAAACAATACTATTTTAGAAATAAACTTACGTCATTTTAATAAAGCTGAACTTTATATATGTTATTGAGAGAACTTTTAAACTGAGTTTCCTAAATTGCCAGACAGTTTTCTTGGTTCCTTATCCTACCAGACTCATTGAAACCGTATATTGGGTAACAACGGTGTATACAATTTCATATCAAATTCGTTATTTTAAGATGCTCCATTTTTTCACATATTGCTCGTAACAGTATTATAACTTGCTCAGCTCGTTGCCAGACCCTTAGTGTGGTTCCAACCCCCCGCCGAACCCCCCTAAACAATACTATTTTAGAAATAAACTTACGTCATTTTAATAAAGCTGAACTTAATATATGTTATTGAGAGAACTTTTAAACTGAGTTTCCTAAATTGCCAGACAGTTTTCTTGGTTCCTTATCCTACCAGACTCATTGAAACCGTTTATTGGGTAACAACGGTGTATACAATTTCATATCAAATTCGTTATTTTAAGATTCTCCATTTTTTCACATATTGCTCGTGACAGTATTATAACTTGCTCTGCTCATTGCCAGACCCTCAGTGTGGTTCCAACCCCCCGCCGAATCCCCCTAAATTATACTATTTTATAAATAAACTTACGTCATTTTAATAAAGCTGAACTTTATGTATATTATTGAGAGAACTATTAAACTGAGTTTCCTAAATTGCCAGACAGTTTTCTTGGTTCCTTATCCTACCAGCTCATTGAAACCGTATATTGGGTAACAACGGTGTATACATTTTCATATCAAATTCGTTATTTTAATATGCTCCATTTTTTCACATATTGCTCGTATTATGCCCTTTATTATATATAACGATAGACGACAAAATAATGACCTTGTTACATAAAATTATTCGTCATCAGTTGGACTCGTCCACTCTTCTTTCTCTATTAAACTTTAATACGAGATTTAGGTCACACAACCATGATTATCTACCCTTATACATACCCATACACCTTCTATCTTCAGGTTTACTCAAATAATACTTCATATTATAATCCAATAGTTCGAATGTGTCGCCAATACAATGAAATTCTTGTCTCGAATATAGATATTTTCCATTCAACACTGGTCCAGTTCCGGAGACAATTAAATTTCCACCATAAAGAGACAAATTATATTTAATATTGTACCCATTTTTTCTTTAATATAAATAAAATTCTGTTAACATAATGATTCATTGCATTACGTAGTTACATATTATTTTCTATTTAGTTTACTTTTCATTATATAACCTCATCTAGCTATCTAGCGTAGATATATTCAATGCGTCTATATAATTTAGCTTTTAGGCATACATAGTGTTGGATTATAATCCAGTCTTGTACCGAACTACACGCTCCTAATTATATTATTATATTGATTGTAATCTGTTTTGTATGCTAATAAATAAATAAATAAATGTAAAAGTCGAATTTCTGTACATAAAAAAAAAGTCAAAAACAGAGTCACATGGATGTTAGGAGTGGAATAGAACAGATTTAGATTTTATTCAAATTGATTGTTTCTCTGTCTGTTCCCTGTTTGTACAGGCTGCTATCCGAAACTGTTGGATCGATTTAAATGAAATTTTACATAGAAGTAGCTAACATCCCCGGTCAACATCTTGATTTTTTACTTTTAATGGGATAGTTATATTAGTTAAGTGTTTGAAATCTACATATAGTAGATATCTTATTCAGCTTAGTACACCACTTATCTACTTAAGTAAAGTCTTTTTGACTTAAAGAGTGAGAACGACACGTCATTTGTTAATTTTGGTCCAATATTCCCAGACATAATATATAACAGAATATATTATTGTCATAATAATTATAATAATACCTTTAAATTTAGTATTATTTAGTTTAAACACACAACAAACCAAAGGCTTTGGAGAACCTGAAACTTTATTCTCTAAAAAATCAATAGATGGCGTTATTCTTTAATTTAATGAGCTTACAATGTTTTCGTCTCTAGCAACAATTGTGTCGACTTTGTCCGAAACGGCGCGTTGCTATGCCCGTACTCACCCTGAAGGAGACTTAGTTCTATGGGTATTGATTCTCTCTCTCAGAATTCAGCAGCGTATTCTCTATTCATATGATCCCTCATTAATAAAGAATACGCTGCGAAAATAAATTGTGATCCAGTGGAAACAGCTATGGGAAATTCTGTTTCTGGATGCACCCAGTTAGACGAAAAAACCTTTCTCGCTAAAGTAATATTGGTACAATTACGAGGTCAAGGCAAATTGTCCTTGTTGTAGCGCCATTTGAAATAGCGGTCACTTTGTTACCCGGTTACAAAACTGCTCAAACGATGCTCAAGGTCCCCATAGATTTGAACATAAGTGTACACCCTGTCTGTGGTATCTCTCTAAATGCGATATGCGTAATAAAGTAAAGGTTTTACTTATTACTGTTTAATAATCTGGGATGAGTGCACTATGGTAAATCCAAAAATAGTTGAGGTGGTTCATAGAACCCTCAGAGATATCCGCAAAATGATTAACCTATGGGCGGCGTAACGATGTTGTTTTGTAGAGATTTTAAACAATCGTTGCAAAGGCTAATGAGCATAAGTAAAAGCATGCTTAAAAGACCTCAATCCATTGCCGACACATCACAAAGTGCACTTAACAGTCAACATAAGGGCGCCAACAGTAGGAAACACAATTGGACATGTCACATCTCAATCCTTTATTGTCCAGGCTATTCATCTTTGAAACTCCTTGCCACTTTCTATTAGATCTGCTCAATCCCATTCCATTTTCAAAAAACTAGTCAAATGTCACTTTCTCTCTAATTAAAAATCTTTCTTTAATGTTTTGTTTCGTCATATATGTATTTTTTTTATATATTTTATTCATGTATTTTATATATATATATATATACCTTTAGTATTTGTATCTACATATATGTATTTAGTATTCATACAATATTTAACACTCTTTTTTAGTGCGCCACCTACCTTTCCCTCACTCAATACTTTTATCTCCCTGGTTGTCTGTAAGAGATCGCTTTTAGCGATAAGGCCGCCTTTTGTTCGCATATTTTTCTTTCTTTATTTTTTGTAATTAAGTGTTATTTTTTTTGTTATGCGCAATAAAGAGTTTTTATTATATATATATTTATTATATCTCCCTTTTTACGGGGGTAATATATTCAAACAATATTATTATTATTACGATTTTTTTGATATATTGCAAATCTTTACTACCTATTATAATATTATAAATGCGAAAATAACTCTGTTGGGCTGTTTGTCTCGATTTCACGCCAAAACTATTGAACTGATTTAAATGAAATTTAGTTCACAGATAGTCTAGAACCTGAGAAAGGACATCATAGGCTACTACATATTTAGTGCGTTGTAAGGGGTTGAAATCGGAGATGAAAGGTTGTATGAAAGTATCGTCTTTTTAAGTATAACGGTGAAACTTTTTGGATTATAATCTAACTAAATATATTTTCTTTATTTGGTTAAGGTCACTATTCCACGCGGACAAAGTAAACAAAATCAGCACAGCGAGTATTGAGTAAATTTTTAAACAGTTAATTTTATTTAGTAATATTTTTTTTTATTTATTACAGTGATAAATATCGTGTACAAGGAAGAGTCTGTTTGGAGGAAGATGAATATTTCATGGGACTAGCATCCTGGGAAGCCAAACGAAGTAAAGACCCACATTTTCAAAAGGGCGCCATAGTCGTGAATGATGATGACGAGATCATTAGTCGTGGGTAAGGAATTTTATAATAATTATTAATAATAATAATACTAATCTTTATTTACTGCTCACAAGGCAACTTACAATGTAGAAAACAAAAACAAAAATATATATTTAAACTTACAAGTTATATTCCTCGTGAAAGTCTGAAGTCTGAACTAGGTCGAAACCTGTAGGAGGTTTACTACAGATCTCCAGGCTCTCTCCAAGGACTTACTGTGCTATGTAATAAATCATCTTAAAAAATTTTAATAAATGTTTTTGTAATATAGTATATTGTATTTAGTGGTATGTGTGCCTGCATGAAAACTCTGTGTGTGTGTCTATATGAGAGAGAGTGTGTAAAAAATTTAGATATGCCGAAAAACTCTTGTCCACTCCAAAGTAACAAAGCAAACAATTATTAAAATTTGCTTAACATGTTGATGCATGATGGTGGTACCATATATTTTTTTAGTTTTATTTTGTTTTACATTATTATCTTCTTTCAATAGAGCGCTAAAAACATACCGTCACTACTGTTATACCAGATGACATTTTCTCGAATGCAACACTTGCTTGCAAAATAGAATAGAATAGGAAATCCATTATGCGAATAAACTTAATTAAAGCACTTTTGAATAATAATAACAATTTTTATTTAATCTACCGCTCATTACATTCGGAAAGCTGTAAAGAACAAGCAAGAAACTTGTGTATGCTCTTTTAAATAAATCTTGTAAGTTCTCATTTTACAAGTTGAAACGTGTGAATACAAACTACCATATACCAAAATACAAACTGCATTTCACTATATTTGAATCCAGAGTGGCAAGGAGCCCACATACGTCTCTCACATCTTGCTGATGTATTGCAATAACAATATAATAATATAGCAATAGGTAACTCTGGTGTTGTTACAAACTGTAACTGTTTATGATCAGATGAAGCCGTATGCTTGTCTACCACACTTGTTATAAAAAAATTATACTGTAAATCCTATAAGCGTTTAGAAAAATCAGAAAAGAGAGAAACACCCAGTAATTGACATAAAAAGATGAACCTATATAGTTTTAGTACAGGTTGGCCTTTCATTCATATCTATTAATTGTCATTATGGGTTACTTATCGTCCATAAGCTGACTCTGAGAAGGATTTTTCTATAATCTACATTAAGGAGTTGCTTATGAAATCATTAGAAGACTCGTGAGTGCGGCGGTAGTTGGTATTTAAAAGCAAAATAACTTAGAAGTAATTAAAAACTTAATATTTAAATTAAAATAAAAACGAACACCTGTTTAAATAATACGAAGAGAATAGGAAAAAAGACAGAATCGAGTGCTCTGATTTAATCTTAATGAGGACTCTGAGATTCCAGATAACTAGAGGAAAAAAACTGTTTTTAAAGTAGATATTATTGCTGATTAAGACTCATTAAACAAAGAAGTTGGTAGAACTAGATACGTGGTGTAGATAGATATCTGATTTGTCCTTCAAATCTCTTGTTATTAGGGAGTAAGGTAAGTTTCGCCTAGTAATAGAATAGTTTATAAAAACTACTCAATTTTAAACGATAATCTACTAATAATATAATAATAGAATATTAGGCAAAACTTACCTTACTCTCTATTTGATCAGCTCTAGTAGATTATCGTTTAAAATTGGGTAGTTTCTATAAATCTACTATATGTGGAAACTACTCAATTTTAAATGCCAGATCATTTAAATACTTAGGAATATAAGTAATGTATTGTATTATTATATAATATACTCATATTTATTGCACTTACGTACGTATTTTTAATGAATACATTTATTTTCACAGATACAATTGCTGGGCAAAAGGTAACAATTATCCGTACAACGAGACAGTAAAGAAATTAATAAGTTAGTATTGAAATGTGTTGTAAAAAATTAAACACTATGTATAACGACTACTCGTCTAAATTCAATCTCGTTAATCTTTACATTGTAATTGTAAATGTCTCCATTTTCAGTAACCCATGCTGTATTTAACGCAATACTAAATGCGCCTGGAAAAGTGAAGGATTGCCGTATCTATGTGACGTTATTCCCGTGCAATGAATGCGCAAAAATGATCATACAATCTGGCATAAAGAGCGTAATATTTTCTTCCGACGAAAATGGAGACACATACAAGGCCTCTAGACGAATGTTAGAGGACGCAGGCATTGATATTCGGTATGTATTTACAAGAAACGTTTATATTTGTATTAGTGTGATGTTGTGGGACAAACCATTGTTCATTAATTTAATAATTTCTAAAGAAATGTATGTGTAGTTATAGCGGTAACAGGGACGAGGACAGGGGGAGAGAGAAAGGGTGGAGTCATAAATCATGACAATTACCTATGTGACTTCTCCTGTTTGAATTGGTTTGATTTGATAAGTCTCATGAGATTTATTAAATTCGTCATTATGCAAACATTCATTCCCATTCAAACATGCTGCGCTGCTGCGTATTTCATAGTCATGCATTAAAAAATCCTCAGAAGTCTAGACTAAGACATGGGTTACAAAAAAGTGATATTCAAGCTGACGGCAGACTACTTGATGGGCAGTGAATGCTACTGCCCAACAAGTAGTCTGCCATGCCAATAGCATTTTGTTTTGCATCACGGAAACACGTCATGTGATACCCATGGTAGAGATTATTCGTTACATTTCCTGAAAACTAAGGTCTCATGTCGTGCATGTGTATACATTCAATGTCAGCATTCAAATACAGTCATCTCCCAGCCATTCTTAAATTGAAACATAGCTTACATAATAAACTGCTTGGCGGCTGCTAACTTCTGCTAAATTCCAATGATATTAGATGTCTAGCATACATCTTACCGGTATCAGTCACTAATACCACAGTTAAGATAATATAACATACTAATAACATTACTATTTAATTTTTTTAACTGCAGTCAACAAGTGTCACCGCCAGTTTATACAGAATCTGAATTGGCGGCGCAAGGTAACAGTGATGATGAAAAGACGCAGCAAAATGACACATGTTATGAACCTCCAAAGAAACAAATGAAGAGCAAGGTGTCAAACAAAAAATGAGAACTGTACTACATACCAAAAGCAACTTCATTCTTCAAACGAAAACTTGAAGATAGTTTGGACGTTGCTGTTGGCCTGCATTATCGCACAAATATAAATAAATAATTATACCATTTTTAAGTTTTATTAATGTCATGTACTGCACCCGTCTGGGCTAATGCCATACGATGGCGGTGCACCAGTGCAGGATGATGATACATCATCCTGCACTGGTGTCATACTGTTGAATGTGACGAATAAATGTGACGAATCGAACCCACGACTCTCAGAAATAGAGTAGTTTGCTAACCCGCTAGACCTTCGAGACCGTCATCTTTAGCATATCTACATATTTTGAATATGACCTATTTATTAACATAGTAAGGATAACAATGTGACTTATGCATTTCCATTCCTGGAAATGGTGTCATGTTTCCTTGTTACATTAATATCACTGCTGTATCGTGCCACTTATCATACTGAAACCACAGAATATAATAATATTCTGCACTGTAACATATACATATATATATTCAGCTATTTAACAATAGTTAAATAACTTATCAAACTCAAGATAATCCGATAATTCCGACATTCTCTAGCACTTATGTCAGTTTGCTAGTCTAGTTGAAAAGAAATAATAATAACGTACTGGCCACCAGTGCAGGATGATGTACGAGTTATACATCATCCTGCACTGGTGCACCGCCAGGTGCAGGTCGATCACCATCAGGTGCTCTGTCAGCTCGTTTGACATTCTAACATAAAAAATCAATGGACAGAACAAATTCGTCAGAACTATGAGTTCAATACGCGACAAACACCTCTGTGGCAAGATGCATGGCACATCATGAATGCGTATCATCATTTGATCTCATTATGGATGGTTCCAAAATATCTAGTGTTTGTAAATTGTACCGTAAACAAATCAATCAGTCAGTTAAGTACAAGCCTCGTTTGTTTTACGCTGCTTAACAGAGGGCGTGGTGTACCAAACAAACGCGCAATCAGTGCAATCGCATTAGGGCAACCTACCGACTAACCGACTGTATATTAGCAGCCCAATTATACAAATATAAATAAATACATAGGACTCTGTAATGAAATAAAACATAGATATAAATAAATTTGTAAAATAATATTTTATTAATTTATGTACAAGAATGAAAGTGACAAATAGTCCAATCACACGACTCTGAATCCCATAAAATCAATATGGTGGTAAAAAATTAGTTCGCAATCAATTAAATATAACATAATTTGTTGGTAGAGCAAGTTGACAGACTACTTCCACTGAGCGTTACATACTTTTATAATATTAAATCAATGAAAACATTATCGATACGAATTTGTCGTCATATTTTTGTACTACAATACATTGTATATGTAACTGAAATTAATATATCTGAATACTACCACACACAGTCTCATCAGGATTATCGAATATTATTCTATACGACATGAACTGTATTTCATTAAATTTCAGTGAAAATAGCAGTGGATACGAATATATTCAGCTCCCAGGCTTTAATTCGTATGTCACTCAACAGAAATATAATTATTCAATAATTTATTGTCCGACTTTACAAATATCTACAAAACAACTGAACCGGGTTACATTTGAGTCCATGTCACAAATCCACTCGAACAAACATTTACATACTAATTAACCGCACGTTGCGGCTCTCGACGCCGTCCAAGCCCACAAACACTTGGACAATACTAACAATATTGTTATAGTACAAACTTAATTATAAGAATGATTTACAAAGCAAACCTCATGAGTAGACAGTATTGCGTGAGGTTAACATATTTGCCACACATTTTTATACAAGTCGCATTGAATTATACAAATATTAATCAGAATATGCTGTTAGGGCCTCCGTGGTCTACCAAGCGGCTGAAGCTAAGCGCTTATATATTTGCCACTGAGACATATGTGAGACATATGACCTATTTTACAAGCGGCAAGACTGGTGTTGACTAAAGCCGCTTGATACCCCACTGAGATCATTACATGAAAAACTTGAACACTTGTGGCCTGACACACTATGAACATTACAAAGAAATCCGAGTCATAATCCGCTATCCGGCGGGGGGAGGGTGAGCGCGGAAGGGGTGATGGCTTTCGCCGCACGGACGTGGAAGGTCCCCAGCTCAGTGGCGGGGACCAGCTTGGTCGGGTTCCTCAGATCCCGACGCACAACAGTTCGGGGAGCTCCCCTGTCAGGAGGTTTCCTGGGGGCTTTGCCCCTTTGTGACATTACGACACGAAAGGGTGAAGTACTAGGAAAGGGGACTGGAGGGGTGGGAGAGGGTGGTGTGGGGGCTGGAACCCCACGACGAACCTACCGAAAGGTAGGGAATTCCGCCCTGAAAGGGCATGTGATCGCACTGTAAGGCAGTCGCATGTGGATTGCAGCAACGAATTTGGGTCAACAAACTCGGTCTGCAATCCTAGCGCGTACTCTTGCTAGACAAAGTACACTTTGTGTAGTTGGATTACGCACTGTATCGCTCTTAACAATTTGTGCAAGTGGGCACCAGTTGCGGGGCTCACTCTGGAGACTCGACGGCGAACCAGAATCTCACAGAGGATCACATGACCAACGGTAAACTCAGCAAGCAACAAATTGGAAAGCTATCTAATCTAAAACAGCAATTGTGGTGAGCACGCTGGCACTACCCTTCTAAGTTCTGGCGCCCCCCACAACGCCGCCGACTGGCCGCCAATCACACTCGCAAGTTACTCCCTGACTAGCCCAGCTGAGATAACCACCGTAACGCTATGTATACCTGGATGGAGAGGTCCTTGTGCGCGAGGCTGGTGGCTATCTGCAGTGCGTGTGGTGAGCGCGCCGGCACTAGCCTCCTGAGAGCTCGCGCCCCCCACAACGCCACCGACTGACCGCCGCCGCTCACACTCGCGAGGTACTCCTCTGCGATCTGGAGAGCGCTGCGCCCACGCATCATCTGCGACATAGTTAATTCGACCATAATTAATTTAAAATTCAAAGCAAATAATATTAAAGACTAACTATATTAATGTAGGTATTCTCAATTTGGCCACAGACTTTTACAATATACAAAATATTTTCATGTACCATTGGCAATAGCAAACCCTATACCCTCTAGCGAAATAGTCCTATATATACTTTATCATGGCCAGGCCAACACCATCATTTCTTTAAACAATATACTTTATTCTTTGTTAAAATAAAAAAAAATATTTACACTTTATGACTTAAAACTTTAGCTATAACTGACGTTCGGCCAAAAAGTACAAAATAAAAAAATTGTGTCAACATGCCTACTGCTTTTAAGAACAGTAAAGATTCTAATAATCGGTTAAATGTCTTTTGACTTTCCATAAAATGGGTCATTCCAGTTATCTATACGAAAATCATAAACCACCACAGTTTATGAGATTATAAGTTGGGAGTAATATTTGGATCTACTGAACCGATTTTGAAAAGTATTTTAGTGTTGGATAGCTCATTTCTTGAGGAACGCTATATAACTAACATGACGCCACAGCCAATAAGAACCGAGTTGCAATAGAAAATATAGCAAAAACTAAGAAAAGATGACGCACACAAAGTTGTGCCGTTCTGCTAGTAATATGTGCCTACACATCTAATATGTGTCTACACTAATAACCCTTCTATTAGTACCTCTCCCATAACATAGATTTAAGTTCAGTGTAAAGTTACTCCACGTTACGACTGCGCGTCGAATGTACACGTTACTAATAGTATTATTAGTAACGTGTACATTCGTGGCATACTACCAAATAAACTTACTAATGTACAATAAATAGTACAATTATTTCACCGGTATACTCACTACCAAGATACTATAATAAACAATAAATTATATGACACCTCATCACATTATATATAACACTACAGTGATGATAACCACCTGCGCTACAAATACATAAAACAAAAATTAACGTAACGTAACGTAAACGTTGATGCTGAGGCGTCACCTGGAATCGAACAGGAAAAGAGAAATGAGAATAAATCATTAGACGTAAATTGATTCGGAACATGGACAAATTAGTTAGCTGACTTACACGGGAGAAAGCTACACAAAGCTAGCCGTGCAAGAAACAACTGACGCTGAGACCTACGCCCGTCATACATAGCATCTGCCTTTGCGCTTTTTTAATTTTCAATCCGTAAAACACCATCACCGAAACTGTTACACGTTCGAAACGGAAGAAGCTATCCCGGCAACACCACATCCCGTCAAAATCTCAACTTCTATTATATTACGTCCCAGAGAGAAAAGTTACACTTTCAGTTTAGTCCCGTTGAATAATATTGGGGTTCTTAAATAGGCGAGGATACCAGTAGCGTCAAAACATATGCCAAAGCAAAGCCATAAACAGATCTCCCCGCATAGTCGGTGGTACGTGAACCGAGCCATTCGGCGTGATGGGCGTTGAAGTCACCTAGAATCACGACCTCGGCGGAGGGAATCTGTTGGAGCAAAAAATCTGTAGCCATTTGGACGTGTTCAATGAGTCGGTCAGTTTCGGTGTTACCGCTATGGGACCTGTATAAGCATGCATATGTAGATGCGGGGGTGGTCATCGCAATCTACACGCAACCATAAAATGGACAGGTCAGTACCTTCAAGTGTACCAAGACGGCGACAACAAATATAATCTCTGACATAAGCGCACACACCGGCCCGTGGAATAAAATTGTGTTCCAATTTATATCCAGGGTAGGTCAGGTACGAAATTTCGTCGGGACAGGATACTTGCGTCTCCGTAAGGAAGAGCAAAGCCGGCCTCGCCGTCTCTAGGTGGTGGTGAACGGCGTTGAGATTGGAATGAATTCCCCTGATGTTGCAAAAACTGACTATGAGCAAGGGAAACACCGATGGAGATTTGCTCGGTTTCCTTTTGGCCAAATTGAGCGGAGTATTGCCCACCCCAGAATACGCAGGGCAGCGTGAGTGTGATATCTCAGGGGTGGATTCTCCAGTAACATGGTTACTGGTACCAC